CGAATGTCATCATGTTATAGTCTTTAGAAGCAGCAAGTGCAAATAAAGATTTTAAAGTTGACTGACTGACAACTGGACTGTAAATTTCATTGTAGTCAATACTGTTTTGTTCAAAACCTCGTACAACAAGTCTAGCTTTATAAGTGCCATTATCTTTCACACGGAATACCCATTTGTTTGAAAGTATTTTACTATCTTTTGCCTCTTTTTTGTTTACTATTTCCCAGGTATTATTGATTTCCAGGGATTCCTTCTCCGAATTTATAGCCTTCTCCCAGTTTTCTCCCTCTTTAGATGTTACAGCCTCCCTGTAAGTAAGTAAACTATAGTCTCTTAGATGTATTGGTATGTGTTTCATTCTCTTGCTTCTTCTTAGGTAACCATGTTCTTCATTATGTCTGTTTCTTTCTCTTTCCGTGTCTTCTGATTCAGTTTCTGATACTACATCTTCAAAAGTCTCATCATTTTTATTTTCTTCTGTTCTGGTATCTTCTGTTGTCTCTTCCTGCTTTTCTATAATATTTTCCTGGTTTTCTGTAGTCTTTTCCTGGTTTTCTGTAGTCTCTTCTTGGTTTTCTGTTGTCTCTTTTTCATCATTTTCACTTTTATTATTATTTATTTTCTTATAATTTTCGTTCTGTTCAGTTTCACTTTCTACTATCACTATGTCCCTTGATATCTCTATTTTTCTTTCCTTGTCATTCCACAGTCTGTACCCATTATTAGTGTATCCAATCATTATTAGTTTCTTGCTTCCATCATTATTGGTAACACAATTTACAGACAAAAGGTTTTGTGCTAGGTCTGGTATAAGTAAAGTCTTTTGTAAATCGCATGACATTCCATGGACAGTACCTGATCCTTGTGCTTTCATTTTTTCATCATTGGCTGCATAAACTGTAGAATCCATTTCTTTGAAATTGCTTAAAATGCTAGGGTCATTTGTCATATGCACTGTGCTACCAGAATCTACTATAAATTTTAATGAAGTCGATTCAGAGTTTTGTGTCAAAAAGGCAACATTTTTGTGTTTCTTACTATCACCTTTTTTCTTAAAGAAACAATTTTCTTCTGTATGATTATTTTTCTTACAAATTGAACAACAGCTGTTTTTTAACTTACAATCTTTCTCTTCATGGTTGTATCTTTTACAGAAAGTGCACATCTTACAATCTTTTTTGAGATGGCCTATTTTGTGACATTTAAAACATTTTATGTTTTTATTCTCCGCTTTAAAAGCAACCTGTTTGTACTCAATTTTCCTTTCTGTAAATCTGTTTTCTTCTGATAAAAGTCTGTTAGTTAAGTTGGTAAGTGTCTTTTTGTCATCGGGTGTTGATTCCCATGCTGTGATGAAGAATTTATATTGGTTTGGTAAGCAGGTTAATATTTTTGATATCACCATGTCATCATCAATGTTTTGGCTAAGATTATTTAATCTCATCCTCAAGTTTTCTATATCTGTGATCAACTGTGACATTGTCTGGTTTTCAAATTTGAAGTTAAAGAAATCTTGTAATAAGGAAGACTTGTTTCTTTCTTCAGATCCTTCAAATACTGCACATAGCTTATTGTACATTTCATATGTATTTTTGCAATTTATGATGTGATCTATGGAGTTCAATATCAACTTCTTTACCTTAGCATCCTTAGTTCGGAATTCTGGTTTTTCTCTCTGTTCTGGGTCTGTTTCTTTCAACACTTCCGACAGATTCGATGCCGAAACATGTATATTTATCTCAAATTTCCAGATGTGGAAATTGTCAGAGTTCGTAAGTTTTTCTATATTTTCTTCTTGGTTATTCATTTTTTAATTCTTTTATGCACTGTTCTCACTCTGGGCAGTCTGGGCCCATAACCTGAAGGGTATAGGAATGCTCAGATGAGGGAAACCAACCTTTTATTAATATTATTTATTATTATTTAAGATATCACTGACCGTTTTTTACTGTAATACATTTTCTTGAGACCATAGTGTAACTTTTCTATCCACTGACAAAGAGAACAATTACTAGTGTTGTGCTGTGTGCACTTCTTAATAGCGATGTACCCACTAACATAAACGTTTTAGGTTTTTTATTTCCATGTTATGAAAACAGAATACATGTTGTTTTTAATAAATATAAATAAAATGTGTATTTCTTTGATAAAACTTAAGAAATTTTAGTATAAGTATCATAATTTAATGGTGCGTTAGTAGCGCCGATCTACGTTCCGACACAACAGTCTGAACACAGATCTAGGTTCCGACACTGACTACACAGGATGTTTCATTTTTCAAGTAAGTTCGTTTCCTACTTCCAATAAAAAAACTCAAATTGTGCTATTCTCGTCACTTAAAACGAAACAATAAAATTTGTAGCAAAAAAAATTTTATTAATGACTCCGTGCCGAGATATTGGCTTCAACGTCGGGGGTCGTGGGTTCGATTCCCACATGGGACAACTATTTGTGTGACCCAAAGATAGTTGTTTCGCATCTGGGTGTTTGTCCGCGTGAAATTTATGTTTGTAAAACGTCCTTACAACACAGGATCAACTAAAAAAATCTACATTGTTTTTCGCATTCCAAGCATAGCTTGGTGCATTTATTCTTATATACTTTACAGCATACAAACAATTTAAATTTCACACTGCAACGGTCTATAAAAGGCACAGCGACAGCCGTGTTCGAGGCCAATCCGTTAGTCGTAGGTGGCGTCATCTACAGACCCCTTACCGCTAGGTACGTTCCGTCGCAAATGACGCAGACCACGACACGTCCTCGATTTCCATGAAGATGAGACGACTATTGCCATCGACAGGATAGAACAATAACGCAAAAACACCAGATCAAAAAAAAATATAATAAAACAATAATATAATAATTATAAATAAAACATCGTTCCGTTTTTCGAGTCCATTATTTTAATCGCATAGAACTAAAAATAATACATATTTTTGTAAGTTACACTTTCGGCCTATGCACTATTCTTACCATAAAGTTTAAAAGGAACATCGTAAAAAAAATAGGACAATAAGTGTATGACAGCGTCACACAAAAATTGCATTTTATTCCTTTTGACAGTGATAACAAGCGCATGAAACAGCCGATTTAAATATTAAATTCCTTTCGCCATCCAAACAGAGGACTTTAACAGGAACCTGGAATAACACAAATATTTAAAGAATGTGCTGAACGGTTATTTCATATTGATATGTAAATAAAATAAAACATATCATCCTGAGTATTTTTTTTTCCAAACTGACAGGCAGATATTTATGATTGTTGCAAGTATCAAAGCTGACTTTCAAACTCACGTCTTCGGACTCCATAATATTACAGCACTGTCCCAAAGATGTGACCGGGTGTCGCTTGAAACCAAGCATAATGCTAGGCAAAGACCATGACTCACAAAATCCTCGACATGCATTTGTTGTTATTTTAAATTCTACACAATCTGGAATGCTAATATTTCTAGTGTGACCTGAAATAAGTAAATAATTAAAATCGGAATAATTGGTATAAAAATTCCGAAAAATATAAAAATCATAACCTATTCTGTGGCAACCGGGTTTCCTCCACGCTTCTGCTGCTAAAATATGACTACAGAAAGTTAAGAAAATTAAACTCCTTAGAAGCATACTGGTTGTATTTGATTTCACAGTCGCGTCTGAAATAAATGAAAGCTCCCTGTTCCTCCTTTTATATAGCACAGTAAGCTCTTTGCAGAGATTGTCAACTTTTATATTTAGCAAATACTTGGTTATACTAAAGTAAGTAGGTAGTAGTAGAAGTAGTAGTTTTTTTCCTAAATTATCATCAAATAAATATTACAAAATATTATAATAAATAGGTACAGTATGAAAATATTACAAAAATTTCTTATAGGTAATTAACGATGTTGTTATATGAATAGAAGCATTTTAAGATTAAAACATTGCGCAAGTTGAAAGTACTTTTTAAATAATCAGAATAGCTAAGAGGTACGTGGCATTTAAAATAAAAGTTCTACAAAACGACATTTTTGATATCATGTACAAATATTTTTAATTTTATAATAAATGCTCACATCTTAACTACTTTGGACCACTTTAAACTTATGACCCTGATGCCATTAAGTGCTCCTTTATTCATGTTTTTGCATGATTTGGATAAAGAATAAAAACATGATTTTTATCGGATTTATGAAACGTCTTTTTGAGAATATTTTTAATTATAAAAAATACCGAACGTTCACAATTTCTATAAATTTACATAAATATGGAAGCCTTTTCATCTCATTAAATAAATTATGCTAACTGTCAACACTTCAAATGTAATAGCCCTTAAAAGAAAAGAAGGAAAACAAACTGTCGCTAATGTGACTATATTATTATTCAGATTACCGAAATGATTAATGCATACATAGCTTGTATCACATTTCTCTTTAATGGTAAATGTGACTAATGGGATCACATTCAAGCCAAAAAGACACTTAAGGTCTGATAAGTCTAAACTGTTTATTTCAACCTTAACATCTTAAACTTATCTTTAACGAAACCTAATCATTATGAAATTTATATAAAATACAGGTTATGTTGGATAGCTAGACATGTTACTTCTCCAAATTATTTTTACGGAATTAATCAAATATGACACAATTCAGTCTGAACAAATAAAACTAATATTCCAAATTTAAAGTAATTCCAACATAATACATAAATCAAACAGGTCAGAGTTAGCATCAAAAGAGTATGTATAATCTGAGATTACCAATCAACAATTTCTACTATCATTCAATGCATTTTTATTACCAATAGAATAAAAAATACCTAGCCGAAAGGCTACAAGCCCTGGTCTGTTATAATTATTTATTTGTTGACACTTTCGGTTGCCAGGCAAATCGATTGCGTGTTTTGCATATACTTAATAAAGTAGAAATGTTTGACGATTATAAAATTCTATATTTTTACAAAACGAAACAGTACGACGAATGTCTCAAATTGTGTGATGAAATTCTAAAATACAAAAGTGATCAGATGACAGAGTACGTTCGGATGCGCGCGATGACATTACAGGTTAAGGTAGCGAGTAATGGATACGATGAAGTTGATTATTTTTCTCATCAAGACGATATTTCCTCTACGGCTGTAGCGAAAACTCCGAGACCCGGCACTTCATTTAATAAGCAAAACGATAAATTCCAACGTACTCCTGTGAACGTAAGTTGTGTGTATTTATCAATCGAAACCTAGCCTGTACTAATAGTGATAGGATTCCATAAAGTGAGCAGCCCCGTGATTTTAGGTGGTAAACATACCATCTCAGTATAAGTCGGAAAACCAACGCTGGCATATTGGTACCTTGCTTTTTGTACGCAATTACGAATTACTACTTATAATGAGTAGCCGCACCCCTAATTTTGAACTTGGACCCTGTTGATTTTACTATTACACCAAAGGCGGTTTTCACAATACGTTGTGCGAATAAGTTTCTAATATGGAAATACTATGTGAGATCAATTATTTAAAATGATGTGGCTAGCGCGGACGTTATTTTTTTAAGATTGCATTTATATAAAAAAAAGTTGTTGACTAGTTAGTCCACATTGATATTAAGTTTCTAAAATGGGGCTTAGTTAATAGGTGTTTTAAAGTCATTAATTAAAATTTTGATTTTGGTTTCATAATGTAATATATAAGCATAGGCGTATATAGGAGGGGGCCGGGTGGGCCATGCCCACCCCAGTATCGTCTAGTGCCCACCCCAAGGATTTTGGGTTAGTGATTCAAAATTTTAGGCTGGATAACTAAGAAACTTCATAAAAAATCATTGTAAACCAATATATATATATATATATAAATCTACAGCCGAGAAATCTATGTACATACTTAGATTTTATTACATACTATTTTACAATACATTCCTTTTATTTACTTGTGAATACGCAACGTACTAAATACTAATTAGTTAAATTAATTATTATATTAACTACTATTGTAAATTAATAAAAATTATCAACGACTTGACTTTATGGTCAAATACAGAATATTTGTAACCGTAATACAAATAAGTTTATTGTTAAAAATAATTTGTGTGAATGTAGTAGGGCCATGCCATGTAGTGGCTTTTACTGTAGAACGAATGGGCTTGGGCAGTTATATCCGTTGTACTACCAAGGCTTCACGTAAAGCTGCATAAAGCTGCATAAATAGCATACTTTTTTATTTACTTCCGTCTGGTGATTGTTATTGCCGTCTAATGCATACGCTGCTTAGCATACGTTGAGATGCAGCTTGATCCATCTTTAATGAAAAAAAAAAATGTTTTTTTTAATGTGAGAAAGTGGCAAACGAGCTGGCGGTTCACCTGATGTTAAGTGATTACCGCCGCCCATGGGCTTTTGCAACACCCGTAGGGTTGCAGATGCATTGCCACCTCTTAATAATGTGGCTACGGCTACCTCAGTCACCAGACGAAACGCAGAAGTGCAACACTTCTACTTTACGCCGGTCTTCTGTGAGGTTGTGGTACTAACCCGGACGGACCTGCCCGTTCGTGCAACAGCGTAAACTGTTGCATGGTCCTGCCACCGAAAGTTTCGAAGAAGACAGAAATAAAAAACCCTCAGTTTTATTCATTTACTAGCGACCCGCTCCGGCCTCGCACGGGCTTCCTATTGAATCACTCTATCTAGTAATAAAAACCGCATCAAGATCCGTTGCGTAGTTTTAAAGATGTAAGCATACAGAGGGACAGACAGACAGCGTTACGACTTTGTTTCATACTACGTAGTGATGATAGTGATTAAACTTTTCATTTTTACTACCCCAGAAAAGAGTATGCACGACAGCTGTGACAAGAATTGGAGTTGGCGCCTTCACTGCACGGGCACAAAGCGCAAAGACAGCGTTGCGCACTGGCTCGCGTGCTTCGCGTGCCGCCACAAGCCTCGTCGGGGGCCCTGCTTTGAATGCCCCCGTATCCCTTAGGTTCTTTTCAAAAGAGGAGAAAACATTTTTTCCAGCGGCGAAATCGTTGTTCGAATACGTTTTTTATTGTGAAGAAGACATTCGCAAGGTAAAATGATCAGATTCAATCGTAAATCTTTTTACATTATTGTATAAGAGCCGTGGTAGATCACTATATTCAGAATACTAGAGTAATCCGATTTTAATAACGGCGCTGACAAAATAAATTGTTAATTCGAATTATAAGTGTTGATTCGTCACGGAACCTGCATGTCTAAAAAACATTTAAAAGGTTTTCGATTCGCCAATCAGCAATCAAGGATATCGTGTGTCTCACGTCCACAGGATTTAGATTTTTAACTTTAATCTTTTAAAATTTTAACTTTAATCGTTTTTCGCCGTTGAGATGATTCGAATATGTATCCACCGGGATACGCGCCCGACCTTCTAGCCACTGAGCTAGCCATTTTCAACGCCGACGAAACTCATTTCGTCTACAGTCCAAGAATTATTCAAATCTCTTCAGTTTTATATTATTATAGTATATAGATATTCTCTTATTTTTATGTATATGGTACGGAACCCTTCGTGCGCGAGTCCGATTCGCACTTGGCCGGGTTTTTTTTAACTTGATATAAACTATAGTTTATTTAACAGGTAACTATAATTTCATCCAATTCAACGGTAGCTGTTATATTGCATTTTAGCGCACAAATCTTCAATGTGTCTTTAAGTTGATAAAACTTTTTTATTTATGAACCGATTTATATGTTAAGTGAAGCTACTACAATGCATTAGTGAAAGTTGCACTAAAATCGGTTAAACCGTTTCTGATTAGCGCGCACAAACAGACACAATTTTTAACAATCATTGTTTTGGGTTCTTCATCTTCCATATACAGATAGCGATCAGTAACATTTTTATTATATGTATAGATTGTGCTATTCTCTGCACCTAACATGAACTTTTAAAAAATTGTGGAAAAACGGAATCGCCGCGAAAATTAGGACCTACCTCCTAAGTGATACGCGCTCTAGTCACCGAGCCCATTTTGTACGTTAAATTTATTATTGTTCTTTTAGGCCATGGACATTGCATTTCAAGCACAAAAGGTAGATAACACAACTGACTGGTGGTGGAACTATTCCTTGTCCCGGTGTTATTATACGCTTGGGATGCACAGACAAGCAGACGAATGTCTTCGCCAAGCGCTCAGACAGAATAAGCATATTTGTATTTATCTGCGTCTTATTGCTATGTACGTGGCGCTTGACCAGCCTATATCAGCTTTGGACGTCTGTAAGCAAGGTTTATCAGTTTTCCACGAGTTTACACCGTTGTTGATTGAACAGGCGAGAATTAATGATCAGATGGGCAACTCCGCCCTCGCAGTGAAAGATTATAGAATGGTCGCTATTCAAGATCCATCAAATATGGAAGCTGTAGCAAATATTGCCATGTATAACTTTTACAACGATCAACCTGAAATTGCCATGCGTTATTACAGGTATATGATCAACTAATTTATTTGACCTTACAAATTAAAAACATACAATTTACGTCTATTAACAAAAGGCGTAAAGACAACAAATTAGCCGGAGAATTTATATAGAGTTTAATTTTTCTTATATAATACTGTTGTAGTTATGTTTCCTATTCTACGTGTTTACATGACTATTTAAGGCGCTTATTGGCAACAACTCCGCCTGGTTCCGAGATCTACAATAATCTTGGCTTATGTTGCCTCTACTGCAATCAATGGGACCTTATTCTACCTTGTTTTCGCCAGGCTCTCTACTTTTCAACAGATCCAATATCGAAAGCCGATATTTGGTTCAACCTTGCGCATGTGGCATTGGTAAGATAATTTTACTTATAAAATAAAAGTAAAAATATACAATAAGAGGCTTAGAGAAAACGTAAACAATAGTAAACGTGTAAAGCGTCATCGGTCTTAAAGTTCGCTACATAACAGCTTAACAGGTTTTCTGCGAAAAAATCGGTATTTCATTTAAAAAGCAATCAAGTCTGAAGTGGCATTCTGGTGATACGAAACTAAGTTTTTTTTTCAAACTTAAATAAAATCTTTCTTTTGTTTATATAAATTATTAATTTATATTATTTCCTTTACAGTCTTCTGGTGACATGACTTTAGCTAGGCGATGTCTACAAGTGAGTCTGTCAATTTTTGAAAAGGAATATGTGAAACAAGCATTACGAGTGTTAGACGCACGCCTTGGAGCTAAAAAATTAAACAGATCTTATAAATTTATGAAATAATTACCCTAATAAGTAATAAATTGTTATAAATAATGTCAAAAATTTGTTTTGAATATAACATTTCATCTCCTAGTAAATGAACAGCTTTTAGGTATATAAAAATAAGTTCCAATGCTGGGCAAAGGCCTCCTTTGTACAGAAGTCCTTGTATTAGGACGTTGTCCACCACACAAACTCATAACATGTGAGTTACGAACATTTCTAAGTGAACACCTCAAACAGCAAAAAAAAAATCCAAAAAATATTTCTGTAACGCGGGCACACGCGGGCATTATGGCAGGCCCTACCCACAGCGGAGGGCCCAAACCCGTGGGTTCTGCGTCAGATGAAGCTTTAATAGTCTCGGGACTGAAAGCACAAACATCAGTTAATACAAGATACAAGAAGCATTATGGCTCACTACGATCGATAGCTTTTCCTGTTTCAAAAAGTCTATACGTATATATAATACAAGACATTTTTAAATACAAAAACGAAATATTATAAAAATTGTTTATAGTTCGAACTTATATTACATGAGTTTAGTAAAAAGACAACAGTGTCTCCGGTCTTTTCTTTTATTTTCAACAAGGATGAATTTTAATAACTGTCACCTAAGGCGGTTCGATTTTGTACCAGTTGCGGAATTTAGAATTTTTTAAAATTGTGATACTACTATGTTATTAGGTTTATTGCCGTTAAAATACTATCTTCCTTTTTTTAAGAATTTATTTTTTATTTTTCATGCTAATCTCAGCACTCAAGCTGATACTATTGCATTGTAAATTTTTGTAGATAAATGGACAAAAACTTTCGGCGCTGCAGGATTCGAACTTGTGTCTTCTAGTTTGGCGCCCAGATGTACCTAATTATTAATTAATTTAAATTTTGATTAATAGAAATATAAATTTTGTTTTTAATAATATGGGTACACAGGGTTTCGAAATATGGTTGCATTCGCAGAAACAGTACTATTAACGAGTAGTGGTTCGTCTGGATAATAGCCATGGATGAAAAAGGCCAAATACAAGCCCTCGGGTGCGGTACATGGCCATCGAGTGAAACTCCTTCCCGTTTGCCCCCTTTTGCGGTAAAAAAGGCCGGCAGAAAGTAGAAAAATTTTAACTTTTTCGGGGCCTTCCGTCTAAATTGTTCGCAACACAACTGAAAACTTTCCATGAGCTGTAGATATCGAAAGGGCGGCAGAAGTTGATCACTTTCCATCAGCTGAACCACCTGCCAACTTCTCCAAATAAATAAAGCTTCGAGTTCGCTTTGCAAACAGAGATAGAGATTTTTTGGTCATAAACTAAACATAAGTTAATATTTCCCAATGTTCTCATTATTTACTGCAATATTATGCTCCTTATTTGATGTTTACAATTGAAAACTTTTCTTTTACCGATAATTGCTATAGTTAGTAGTGAGTATACTGAGATACATAATAAAAGACAGGCAATTTTTTTTATTAACGAAAAACAAAACCGACTTCAAATATCTCGCTCTGTATTCATTTTATAATTGATTTTCAGGAGTTCCCTACGTATCTCTGCAGCCCAAGATCTAATACCAATGAAATTAATATGGGACCACGTGGGAAGCACCAGCTTTCAAAAAAAAATCGGTTCACTCAGTCGAAAGTTCTGAGGTAACAAACAAAAAATATAGTCGAATTAAGAACCTCCTCGATTTTTGAAGTCGGTTGAAAAGAATTAGATACGTCAGTAACAACTTTACTTTTAAGTTATAGCAGCAAATTGCTATTCCAATATTAGTTACAAATACATTAAGTAATCGTTAATAGAAGGATCATATGAATCCATATTTCTTAGATCTTCATACTTTAAGGCAACAAGTGAATCCAAAACCGGTTCCGGATGATTCCGGTGTAATTCAGCGGTGGGAATCTCCTTAGTTTCAACCTCAAGCGGTATACGCGTAACATGCCTCATTTTGACCTGTAAAAGTAGTTGTTTTTATGAATATAAAAACATGTAAAATAATTTTATTTAATTAATCTAGATCTAAAATCTAGTATAATATTTTTTTTATTTAATTTCAATAGGGCAATCAAATAAACTGATGTAGAACTTAAACCGGTTAACTCATAACTGTCAATTTATAAATCACGCAAAAAAACAATTTTGCCTGGCAATCGTATCTCGATTCTAGGATACCCTGGTGATAGTACACAATCCATTCATACCTGTTCCATTGTAGCCTTAGGGACACCGATACTTTCCCATGTATCAAATCCTTCTGGGATGGCCAAAGGCTTAGAGTAGTTAAGATTTTTTTCCTTAATAACTACACCTGCTCCAAATCCTGCATTATGCAAAATTTCCTTAGTTTTTCTTAGTAATTGAGGTTCCTTTGAAGAATGAAATAATACGTGAGCATTATTCAGTATTGCGACGCTTCTAATAGTTGTGCAAATACTTTTTTTCATTTCAGTGTCTGAAAAAAAAATTGGAATCATCATTACTTCTTCTAATCTAATCAATAATATTGCAATGAAAGGTTCATAACCATCAAATGGTTTTTTTCACTCAGTACAAATACAACAACTCATTCAATACCACGTCAGATATTTCATCGTAACGTTTTCAGTAATATTTCATTAGAAAGCAGTACTCGCAATACAGAAATAACCTTTTCTTTCTATATTCTGGGGGTTAAGTTTTTTCTATGTTCTGATGGTTCTGGAATGTTTGACGAAAATAATGGCTGGTAACGTTATTACAAAAATGCTTGACATGGATTGGTCGTTAATTATTCTTTAAAATTTTAAATTTTATTTTTCAATGTATGAATTTAAAGCAATTAAAGCTTGTGGTCAACAGCCAAAGTTGCAATATAACTCATTAATATGAATTCTTCGTACCATAATTTTTGAAAAGATCATACTTTCCACCTATAATAAGCAATTCCAGAGATTGTGTTTGATCTGAATATTCATTTACACCTTCAAGGCACTTCTGTAAAGTAATCCAAATTGTTTTTAATTTACTTAAATCGATCATAATAACGAAGAAACTTTTATTATGTACTGGAACGGAAGTCAAAACATTTCTGAGTAATTCTAATTTACCACCATACTCCCATACATGACATATTATCTTTTCTAACCCTTGTTTTGGTCCGGACTTTCTGCCAAAAGAATATTCCAGTACTAATGTCTCTCGTGGTGTATCGTTTTTTTCAAGAAAATGATAAAGGAGAGTCGATTTTCCCTTAAAAATGAATTACATAGTAATTAACGGAACAAATTTTAATAAAAAAAATAAAGATGTGATATTTCCGCAGCGTCTTAACCATTGTTTTGTTTCTATGAACCGCGTGCACCGAATATAGTACAGACTAGACACATCGTATAAAAGTCATTATCAAATAAACATGTCAAATAAATGGTTATGGCTTAGCGCGATTACTCAGTTTTTATATAGTATAAATATAATAAAACCGACAGCTGAATACTTAGTTTTTACCGCGTACCAATACAAGCGAAAAAGGAAAAAAAAATGGAAAAGCCTATACCACACTTATTTCCTACCAAAAATCAAGTTCGAGCACAATCTTCATTCGATCGGATTATTGTTTTGTTTACAATATCAGTTGCTATTTCTGGTAATGTAAGCTTTTACGACGTAGCATTACAAGCGATAAAGAAAAGAATTTGGAAAAGCTTACCACAGACTTATTTCCTACTAAAAATAAAGTTCGAGCACAATCTTCATTCGATTGAATTATTGTTTTGTTTACAATATCAGTCGCTATTTCTGGTAACGTAACCATTTTATTCGTTTTTGCGTATCCTGTTGGTGATTTTCCTCGCCATAACAGTTTGTTTACAATAAGTTTCTAGGCAACGAAAAGTAAGCATTATACTCAAAATGATTCTAGATGATAAAGGCTTGGCACAAACTATGTCAATTACTACTTTTAACTGAAACAAATGAATTTCAGTTATTACCTACATGAATTTCAGTTAAAAGCAGTAATTTGGACTGCATATAAATTTTAGCTGCATCGATATAAATATTTCATGATTTCCTACTGGAAATGTTTTTCATTTCTAAGTACGAAAGCTGAGCCCTTAGAAACAGTGTTAACGGGTATATTTTTAAAGATGTCAGCGTTTTTTAACAGGAGCGCGGGTCCTAATTTTTATCAACGTTAAACGAGGCAGTTTATAGGCACTGTGCGTATGAAGCTTTCGCACAACATCAGTAATTGTTTAATAAATTACCGACAATTAAAAAAAATATTTTTATTTGAAAAGTATACCTACAAACTCAACTTCACTGACACAAAAACAAAATCCCTACCGCCATGTAATTGCGATTAGTACCTACTTCTTTCGCGAATACTATATTGTAATTTTGTTTTACAATATAGTATGTGTTACAAAGTTTAATTTGTTAATTCTCGACTTTTTGATATGTCTCATGCATTTTCTGATTTGAATTGATTGTATTAATTTCCGAGATAAGAAGTGCTTCTGGAAAGAAAACCAAAGACAAACACCGAGCCCACGGCCGTAGCTAGGGGGGGGGGGGGGGGGCATTGTAGGGCAATGCCCTACCTTAAAATCACAATGCCCTACCTTAAAATACCAAAATAAAAATGCGTAAATATCACCACGTTTTTCAATTTCGTACACGTCTCAAGTGATTTCCCATCCCGATTCGCCGGAATTTGTATATTCTTTCTATGTTGTACCTACTGTGTTCTATTTCATGTTTCTACTCCACTTTATTTAAAGGAGAAATTTGAATTTGTAAGGCTTCTAGGGGAAGATCCTACCTTCTTCGAGGAAGCTCATTTTAAAGGTGCTAAACCACAAAACGTAATTTTTTGAAAAATCTTTTACCGTACAAGCTGTTA